AGACGCAGGAACGCCACAGAGGCCCACACCTGGTAAAAATAGACGAAGATAGCAGCCCTTGAGCACCTCTTCGCCCGTCCAGGAATCAGGACCCGCATCAAAAGGTATGGTAGACGCACTTTTTCAATATCAGACGATCAGTCGTACGGATAAAATCAAGATAATCATACAAAAACAGGTGACTGTCTGCTGATGAAAATTTGGGACGCTTTTCAAAATACGTACGATAAGACAGCACACATTAATCCGTTTTAATAAGCATTTATAACACCCGGTGATTCTGAGACATGGTAGAACATTATTATCAGACATCTAAAACTTGTCGTTGGACTCAATGGAACCGATCCAGCCACAACATTCGTGGGTTGCAGCCAGTTCACATCGTGTTGACATTCGTTTCACGTTGATACGATGTCGACCTGACGTTGCATTGATGTCGGATCGTCGTTGAGTCGCAGTAGCCCATGCAGTGATCAGGCCCGCACAGGTCGCGGATTCATTCCGAGACCCCCGAGTTCTCCCAGCTCTCCGCGAGTAGTGGGATCTGTGACCTTGCATTCCCAGCCTTTTTAAGTGCGCAGTCCAGTGAGCACTATTGCACGTAATGCCCGGAGGCTTCTGCGATAACCAAGACTCGTCCAAACTTTTCAGCGCGGAGCGTTCCATGCCCTGCCCACCGCGTCTCAGTGCTGACGGGATCCCTCTGCCCGAGTCCGCCCTTCCGTCTCCAGCTAGTGTTGCTCGTCACCTGAGACGAGAGCAGCATTCCCAGCAACCCGGGCCTTGTCTGGGATATTCGCCTCTCCCTCTGTGATCAAGCACCAATTTGACGACACTGGGTACTGTACAGTTTAGCGCCCAAGAGAGTGGGAGCTTCCGAATGCGACATGTCCATCAACCGGACCAGTGCGGTCGCGGACTGACCGCAGGAGGATGGCCACTAGCAAGAACCACAGCGGCGTTAGCAGGGCGGCTGCAGACCATGATGAGGACGGAAGGTAAACCAAATCAAATCCACAGGCGGCGCCCGGCTTTATCACCCTGGACGATACGAGACGGGACAGGACGGGGCGGGACGGAACCGGACAGGACGGGACGAGACGGGACGGGTCGCAGCATGGCGGGACGGGATGAGACGGGACGAGACCACGGGATGGGACGCGGCAGGGTGGGACGGAACCGGGCTGGAATGGACCGGACGGGACGGGGCGGGACCGAGCTGGACGGGACGGGACGGGACGGGACGGGACGGGACGGGACGGGACGGGACGGGACGGGACGGGACGCGGCAGGACGGGACGGGGCCGGGCTAGACTGGTGGCACGGCGGCAGGACGGGGCGAGGCCGGGCTGGACGGGACGGGACGGGACGGGACGGGACGGGACGGGACGGGACGGGACGGGACGGGACGGGACGGGACGCGGCAGGACGGGACGGGGCCGGGCTAGACTGGTGGCACGGCGGCAGGACGGGGCGAGGCCGGGCTGGACGGGACGGGACGGGACGGGACGGGACGGGACGGGACGGGACGGGACGGGACGGGACGGGACGGGACGGGACGGGACGGGACGGGACGGGATGGGACGGGACGGGACGCGGCAGGACGGGACGGGACCGGGCTGGACTGGTGGCACGGCGGCAGGACGGGACGGGACCGGGCTGGACGGGACGGGACGGGACGGGACGGGACGGGACGGGACACGGCAGGACGGGACGGGACCGGGCTGGACTGGTGGCACGGCGCCAGGTCGCCTCCGCGAGGCCGGAAGAGCGTCCGACGTTGAAGGGCAGCCGGAAACCTGAACCGGTGGCCGACAAAGAGTATTTGAAAGCGGTTTTCGCAAAAAAGCTCTCAACTGGCTCGCAGCAGGTAGGATACGTGTTCGCTTCCGCAAAATGTTCCGTATGGGGTGAACGCAGCGGGGCTTTTGAAGCCCTGGACGCACGGTTAAAATCACGGCTTGAGCTTTGCATCTCTTCGAATGAGTTGTGCACCTTCAATGCAATGTTTGTCTCGGAGCCCAAACCATCTGACCGAAATCGCCAAAATATCGCCAAAAATGCGAACAAGCAGACAACATCAGTGTTTCCCAGGCAACCAAGTTAGGTCCATTTCCTCTTCCCATACAACACAGATTTCATCTCCGGCTCTTAAACTGAAAATCCTCTACTCTTATGCATACAAGACCTCAGCTGTTGGCAGGTAATATTCAATGACGGTTTTTGAGCGAACCCATGCACAGCACACCAGATAGCCTGAAGTCCTATCATCATAAACTTCACTATTTCTCCTGACACAGGCTCCGTCGTCATTGTAGGCGATCTACGACTCGCTCAGACGCCAAGAATGTATGGCGTCTGCTGTCACTCAGTCTAGTTGGAAAGGTGGGCACGGGGGATTCGAACTTGTTGCCTCTCGTTTCCCAGACACCAGGTTCTTTGAGGTTTGATGAGCCTTACATGCACTAAGGTATGCAGGCGCGGGGCACCATGTCGCCGCTGACGAGGGCTGCCCGCAAGCTCAGCAGGTCAGCAGTGATGAAACTGCCATAAGAGATGGCATAAGAGATACCTATGCCATAAGGGCGGCCGCGGTAGGACCAGCACCGCCATTCGTGCCTTGCGCAGTCGGCAATTTTGCAAACGGACACAGAAATGGTGAGCGATGCATGCTTATTTTGTCGCTTGTGGTCTGCTGACACAGCCTTTCAACGCACTGTTGATGTGCTGGTCGTGTCGCATTCTTGATGACGTAGGTAGGCGGAGGTCTTTGACCTGCCTTTGTGACGGGCTCTGCCTCGTAAAACTGCTTCGAAATGCAGCCTAGCCTGATCTGCCGTCCATAAAGCGCGTGGTCTGTCTTTCTTCAGCTTTGCGCACAAATGCGGCAGGCAGGGAACATGACTGGGGAACACAGCTGCATTCAACATTGCCACGCGTAGATGGGTCAGCGTCAGATGCTGGGGGTGAGTTGTAAGAAGTCAGTGGGAGGTATCGACCTGTTCACCGGGTTGTTTATGCAATAAAACTGCAGACATCGCACGCAAATTTCCTTTAGACGAAAGCCACGCTGAAGATAATGTTCGGTCGGATGCCCACAATTTTCCAGGTCGGCGGCCGAGCCATCGCAACTGCCTCTCAGTGTGCCGATGTGCCGCACCTTAGGGCGACTGCCTGCGGCCGACGGCCGGCGGAGTCGAAGGCGTCCACTTGACCCAAAGGTCGTGACCCCGGGTCGGGGTCATCGCAGCCGGCTCTCCGCAGCCGAGATCGTGACCACGGCCGGCGGTAGCGCTCTGCGTCGTGGCCACGAGGCGCGCGCCGCCGCCGTCGGCTACGTTTGGAATTCGCCGGAGCGACGCGGTCTAGCTGACCGGCACGACCTGACGACCGGTTCCGAGTCGGCCCGTACCAACCCGGCCTGCCCACGCTCGCCTCCGATCGGCCCTCTTCCGCCTGCCGCCTGCCGTCCGAGCCGTCAGCGACATCTGCTGACACGACGGGGGCGCTCAGGCCCGCACAGGAAGCGCCGGACGGGATCGCGGGATGTCTCGAGACAGAGCCAGACGTGAGGCAGGGTCAGCGCCGGACGGGATCGCGGGATGCCTCGAGACGGAGCCAGACGTGAGGCAGGGTCAGCGCCGGACGGGATCACGGGATGTCTCGAGACGGAGCCAGACGTGAGGCAGGGTCAGCGCCGGACGGGCTCGCGGGATGTCTCGAGACGGAGCCAGGCGTGAGGCAGGGCCAGTCGGGCTGTATGCCCTGAACACGGGTAAAGTTTTCTATTCAGCTGAGAGGTGGTGAAGTTCCAGCTCCTGAGCTTGGGCTACAGCCCTCCAACTTTGAGAAGGAAGCGGGCCATAGCCGGAGAGAAACCCAGTTGTTGGTGTGTTCAGGGGTCAATTTTCGTCATTTTTTCACTGTTCCGTCTCCCTCCCCATGCCTCCCAAATCATTTTGCGAAACTGCGCCCCTGGCTGTGATTAATGGGGTTTAACAAGTGCATGAGTCGGTTGAAACCGTGCGGCATGTAGGAAATGGTAGCGCTTCAATTGCAATAAGTTTCAGCTTTGCTCACGGGACCAGAGCGCGTAAATTCTTGTCACATCTGATATATGGATGATGCATTTGTCAAGCCAATCAAATTCATCAGAGCACACTGCACGCAAACCCTTTCTTCATGAAAGGGTTTCCTTCCAATGTGACACCATAATGGTATTGTTTAACTCCGCAAAGGTCATGGCACTCACCATCGTCATCCCATGTGGTGGCATGGCTCATTCGTAAGGCCGTGTAAGTTGCCGCCTGTTATACTCAATCAGAGTAACCAGCATGTTTTGCACCGCGTTTCAAGGAAGATCCAAACCATGCACAAAATCCTTACCTTCACGCTCTCCTCTTCAGCAGTCAGAGGGCTGGCCTCTCCGGTTCACCTCTTACTACGTCAAAACACTTCTGGTCAGGTTGTAAGCGTCCGTTCACGCCCCGCCAGTCCACGCGCGTACGCCTTCCGCCACGAGATGCGCTTTGCGCTACGGACGCGACGGCCGAACGGACCGCCGCCGCGTGACGCGTGCGCAGACCGTCCCACCGCTGAACTTAAAACTGAACTCTGCCGGGCGGGTCAAGTCGTGGCCCGCCTGCGGCTGTTGGCCCAGCCTTTCATTCTTCCGTCGGTGTGGAGAACTGAACCCGACCGACGGCAGTGGCGCCTCCCCGAGGAGATCCCACTTGCGTTGCCCTTCACCACGACTGCGGGCTTATCATTGGAGTGCTTGGGCTGGCTGTTAACGTACTGGCTGATCATTTGCTGTTCCTCCGCAATTAGATTGTGGTTCTACACCGTGGCTAAACCTCTCACAACAGGGGGTCTTTTGTGGCTGCCCCTCCGCTCGCAATGGTCTATCGTATCTACACTACACGGCGATCTACACGGCACTACACGGCGATCTCCCGTAACGACTCCCCTGTTGAGGGTTTTCTGTGGTGGTAACTCACCTGCTGCAGGATGTATATTTCGATCACTTGTCCGCTGGAGGTTATCTATCATAGCTGCTCCTCAGCCAGTGATACCCCAGCTTTTGCTGCCCGCCGGCAGGTGTCGCCGCTCGGCCGTCCGGTCGAGCCGCGGTCGTTAGCCCCTCTTCTCCTCCTCCCGCCGGCGTCGTGACCCTGGCCTTCGACGGTTAAGACCGGTGTGCTGAGGTCACTGCCTCGTCGACTCGCTCGGTTTGACGCGCCGGCCACGCTCGGCTCTCGTGACGCTGCACGGATCGCGCCGCAGATCGCAACTCATCGGGGCTTGCGAGTGGCCGATGTCTCTGAAGGCACGCTGGGACGTCAGGCGCGGAGGGCGTATACAAGCTTCAGGGACGGCATGGCGCAGGGGCGGACACAGTTGTCATTTATGTGTCGAAATTCAGCAACACTGCATTTCGTTCCATCGGGATAGGTGGGATATGCGTTTTAGTGTGATAATTGCTCCCTTTCACCAACATGCTAGCATCTCGTCGTTTTCAAGCAGCGCCGATTATGCGGTTATGCAGTGCTAAGCAGCCACGCTTAGCAGCCATCCATTAAGTGCGTTACGCATAAATGCGGATGTTTTTATGGAGTGCAATGGAAGCGCAACGAAGCAGGAAGAGGAGGTTTTGTATAGCGTAAATTTTCTCTCAGGTAGGGCAGCAAATCATGCTAGAATCTTTAACAACAAACTGAGACCCAAAAGCCGGATACCGTGGCTTCTTCCCTTGCTAAGGCACACGTTCCTTATTTGTTTCGCATGTGTATCTCACTTCAGCGTCAAAACAATGCTACTTTTTTGGGATATTAGGCTTAACACAGCGCAATTAACGGGAGTAAGAGTTACGCCCAATGTGACCAGTGCAGAACCAAGGGGAATGAGGTTTAAAACAATGATGAAAAATGCGTGACGTAGCTTGAAACCGGCCCCTTACCTACGAGCATCTGACCTTGATGAAATTTAGAAGTAGCTCGCACAAACATTCACATTCCTGGCCTTTCCGAACGATCTGAAGCCTTAAAGCCTTAGAGAGAGCACGTGGAGAAGATGAATGAAGCTCACCGATTTAATCGATGAACGCCAAGAGGTTCGTAACACGGGTCGTCATTGGGGCTTAACGACGCGCTTAGCTGCTGGGGCTAAATGGTGTCGCCTGCCTCTCACCCTGGCAGGAAGGGCGGGCACTGCGGGGAATCGAACCCCGTATCTCTGGTTTCCCAAACGCGCAGTGGTTATTGCAGACGCGTTAAGATCGCAAGATCAAGGATCCACCACAGCACGGGATGGATCCTTGCTCTATGCAGCCCATTAGAAACCTTTATGTCTTCAGAAGCATCCCCTGCCCGGCTTGATTTTGTGCGGAACAAATCGTCCAACACACAAAATATGGCTGAGCTGGCTGAGCGGCGTCAGTGCTACTACGTCATGGGTCGATGCATTGGTCTTCACGGATCCGTGAAGACCAGTTTATGGGTCAAATATGGCATGCGTAACATATTCATTCAATTATTGTAAGCAACAGACTGATGCATGTGAATTAACTCGAATCGCTAAAATAATTGATGCAGGTGCTTCCGCAAGGCTGGTGATCAGACACGTCATGCCAACAGCTGCTCAGCGTATGTCTCATGCATGAGAACAACTGCCAATTATCTACATGTAAATGCATATTGAATGACATAAATACAATTGAATGTCTCCGAACATCTCCTCAATCTTCTGCCTCCTTAACGTAGGGGTGGCAAGAAATCGGGCACAAAACACGAAATGAGACAAGCAACTAATGCTTCTTCAAGGCTTAAGATTCCAGTGTCATGCTTCGGAAAGCCAGAACCCTGCTTCACAGCATGCCGGCGTGAAGAGCCGGTAGCTCCACCGGCACCAGTTTCCCGGCCGCTCGCCGTGCCTTGGCCCCTGGCGTGTCTTGCAGCCGGCGTCCGGACCTGTTGCCCGGCGTGCTCAGACGGGCGGTGTCACGACGGCCGGCCCGAGCACCGGCTGCTGCCGGCGAAAGTGCCTTGCTTGTGCCAGTGAGTTCGTGGTTCCACAATGATGGACAACAGCAACTGTCAAATCTGTACGAGGTAGCGATATATATTTGCTTGTAATTGGCACCTTTATACGCGCAGTAACCGTGCAGACGATTGTGTGCGTGACGCTCCGTAATTGGGGAAAACTGGTAGATACACGAGATAGCTGCTCACGGAAGTTATTAACGTCAATAGAAATAAGCGCGTTCGGCTTGTCGCTCTGTTGACAACTACAACCGTGTGCATCTGGTACTTGTATCCTGATATACCCCGCGCCATCTAATGATCTGCTTTGTTGACCCTTACTCAGTAATGCGGAAGCCAGACGTTCGTCGCCACGTGGGTCAAGCATGATCACGCGTGACCACGCATTATCAAGTGCCAGCAAAGTGCCGCACCTTTGCTTCGGCAACAGCTCTACGTTCGCGGCGCGCTGGGCGACATACCGCTTGACACTGACAGTGTGCGTCTCGGCAGCCATATTTCCTCAATCCCTCTATTTCCTGGTTTTACCGCACTGCAGTTTTTT